TGAATTAGTTGGTTAGGGTTATCAAGGTCCTATTCCATCTAATATCCATATCTGGAAAGGCAGGGTTATCAAGGTCCTATTCCATCTAATATCCATATCTGGAAAGGCAGGGTTATCAAGGTCCTATTCCATCTAATATCCATATCTGGAAAGGCAGGATTAAAAAGTTGATGTAATTATACTCAGTCTGTTAATACTGCAAAACAAAAAGTCTTTCTCAAGCAGATGCTTTCAAATCTCATAACGGAGATCAATGTAATAGACATGGATTAACCTGATAGCGATTTTTTAAAAAGTCCATAGCGATTTTTTTAAAAAGTCCACAAAACAATTGAAAAGTATTTTTTGGGGTAAGTCTAAAAGAGTCCTGCATCTTATACTGGTGACCTGTCAATCATCTGACTTCTCTTGTGTGCTGGAGAAAGAAAGTGCAATAAAAGCCTCTCACTAATTCAATTCAATTCAAATTTATTTGTATAGCACTTTTCACAATACATATTGTTTCAAAGCAGCTTTACAGAAAGTACATTTCAAAAATGTACATAGAAAAAATACAGTTAATTAATCATGTATTAATTTAGGGCATAACATATCGCCGGCATAACATATATAATATATATATATATATATATATATATATAATGTGAAGCTGACTGGCCGTGGCAGTGAACGCTGTGATTGTTCCCAGAATCCAGACGGCTCCTGGCCTCAAAATCACATTCAGACCATCACTGGTTTCATAACAGGTAAATCATGTGTGACTAAAACACATTTGAGACTCAAAATGCTGTTTTTTCTTCTGTGAACTAACATCGCATCTGTTGGTGCCCAGTGAAATATTCACTGGTTCATGTAATGTATTTGGTCGGATTTCTAAAAGGAGGCAGGTGTGGATTGGATCGGGCATTAACTGTTTTAAAAGTTTGTGGGGAAATGATGTGGAAGAGAAAAATCAAAGTAAACACTGAATGTGCTTCTCCTGAGGTTGCAATATAAACACTATCTGGAAAATACTAGAATAACTTGAACATTTCTAAAGAATTCAAATTTAGAGTTAAAGTTCCACATGTTGCAGATTACAGGTGAAACTCGAAAAATTAGAATATCGTGCAAAAGTTCATTTATTTCAGTAATTCAACTTAAAAGGTGAAACCAATATATTATATAGACTCATTACATGCAAAGTGAGATATTTCAAGCCTTTATTTGTTATAAATTTGATGATTATGGCTTACAGTTTATGAAAACCTTTTCATAATCTAATTTTGAATTTGGGGTTTTCATAAGCTGTAATCCATAATCATCACAATTATAACAAATAAAGGCTTGAAATATCTCACTTTACATGTAATGAGTCTATATAATATATTAGTTTCACCTTTTAAGTTGAATTACTGAAATAAATGAACTTTTGCTCAATATTCTAATTTGTCGAGTTTCACCTGTAGTTGTTAGTGGAATTAATTGGTTGAGAGTCCATTAAACAGCTTGTAATCGTCTTGCATTGCTGTGAGACGGAGATCTGGCTGGTGTTTAGGATACTTTAAGGTCTGGTTTCACTCATCTGAGCAGTATTTCATCTTTTAAGCTCTTTGATTTCCGTAGCAGCTGTTATTGTTTCTGCAACATTACGCATGCAAGTGCACATGGGTGTAAAACGGGAACGCTCCGCTCATCTGCACTCCACCAATAACATTGATTTTCTGACTGACTGCATATGCAACCCGACTGTATCCCAGAGCACATTTGATTTTAAGATAATAAGAGATTTCATTCCACCCTCAAGCCCCTTATATTCTGATCTCTACATACAGGTGAAACTCGAAAAAATGGAATATTGTGAAAAAGTTTTCAGTAATTCAACTTAAAATGTCAAACTAATATATTATATAGACTCATTACATGCAAAGTGAGATATTCCAAGCCTTTATTTGTTATAATTGTGATGATTATGGCTTACAGCTTATGAAAACCCCAAATTCAAAATTAGATTATGAAAAGGTTTTCATAAGCTGTAAGCCATAATCATCACAATTATAACAAATAAAGGCTTGGAATATCTCACTTTGCATGTAATGAGTCTATATAATATATTAGTTTTACCTTTTAAGTTGAATTACTGAAATAAATGAACTTTTGCACCATATTCTTATTTTTCGAGTTTCACCTGTACAGATCAGTCCCTCCTTCAATGCCTTTTCCACCCATTTTATCAGTTGAGAAATAATATCTGCATATTTAAGGTATCAATGTCTGTATCGTGACTCTTAAGGATTTCTCTTCAGATCACTAACCCAGTAACAGTAGAGCTAGCGATGCTTGACCTGAGATAACTGTGTGACGCCGTCGGCTGTGTTTCTGCTGCAGTGGTTGTGTGTGTGTGTGTGTGTGTGTGTGTTTTGTTTGCTCACTCTCGCTCTCTGCAGGTGGTGTGAATGTGACCGAAGGCTTGGGCCGAGCAGACGTCCCACTGCAGATCTACTGTTGGAGATGATGCTTGTGTTTGGCTGCGCACGAGACGGTCGGTTAGCAAGCTGTAACAAACAGTGAAAGGAAAACACTCCAAACTGTTATTTTATTTTTGTTTGATCTCTCCTGTGTTTTATTTGATCAAATCATTTTTTACATACAATTGGATTAAAAATGCAAATTCATTTATTTTTGAGATTGTATCTTGCTAAATTAAACATGATTAGCAAGCTGTTTAGAAGCTCTTTCAGTGAAAGGAAAATATATATTTTATTGTATTTTTTGTTGTTTTTTAGTTTAGCTGTCTCTATAGCTGTTTCAATTTTTAACTATTGTATCTTATTTTATCAACTTTTTTTAATATAAAATTGGATTAAAAATGCGAAATAATCCTATTTACTTCTGAGATAACTCACTGAACATGCAACGTAAAGAGATTAAACTCCAACGTTTTATTTTATATTTTATTTTTGTTTAATCTGTCTTGTAAAAGAGATTGTAATCTCAATGTGATTTTATTCCCTGGTAAAAAAATAAAAAATATATAAAAATACAGTTTACAGCTGCTTTATTTAATTTTTTTAAACTGTTTAGTCTCTTATTTTATTTTATCAAAACATTTTTACATAGAATTGCATTAAATTCAAACTAATCATTTATTTTTTAGATAATATCTCGCTAAATTAAACATGCAATGTAAAGTGATAAGCAAACTGTTTGGAAATCAGTCAAAGAGGAAAACACTATTTACAACACATTATTTATTTAGTCCTTAGATTAGTTGTCCTATTTAATTTACAGCTGCTAATCTTATCAATCATTTTGTAATATAATTCGGTCCCACTTTATATTAAGTGGCTTTAACTACTATGTACTTACATCTAAAAATAAGTACAATGTTCTTATTGTGTTCATGTTGTATTGTAAAACACATCGCTGCTATTGAGAAGTGAAGGGTCAACAGTGTAATTACATAAATTAATTACAGCTGTAATTACATGCAGGTTTTTTTTTAAATATAAGTACAAAGTAAAAACATGTAGCCTATGTACACAATAAGTCCATTGTATCAAATTATTAATTTCAATGTTAGTACATAGTAGCCTAGTTAAAGCCACTTAACCCTTGTGCATCAATTAAAAAAAATTACACATAGGTACATAGAGGACAAAAATGTCCGTGTCAAAAAACTGTCATAAAAATGTGACTTAAGTTTGGTATCATTTTAAAGAAGACCCTTTGCAGATTATTGCTGAAGTAAAAAAAAATTTAATAAGTAAATCGAAAAAAAAGTTATATAGGTATAAGTTTATGAAAATTATTTTATATAAAATATATATTTTATAAAACAAGCTGAACTCTAAAACGGCAAGAAAATAAAAGCCATAAATCTAAATAAGTTGTGTTCCAAATTTGAGGTTGATATCTCAAAAAATGAGCTTTCAGTAAGAGTGTGTTTGGGCGCAGTAACAGATTTTCCCCATTGGGTGCCAGCAAAACTCCACTGGTCACACAGTGATTGGATTTGTTATTTGCAGTTGAGTTTTTCTCTCTCAATATTACAAACACACACATGCACACACACTTTTTTTTTTAATAACACACATACTAACCACACTCAGACATCCATACCAACACACCCACACAATTATCGTTGCACAATTTATCCAATTGGCTCTATAATATGCCGAAGCAGAAAACAGCAATAAAGCGATATTTGTTTTATAGGCCAAACCTGGAAAAATGGCAATCTGATAAAAAATGGTAAAAATTTAAAATTTGAAGCCTTGCCAACAGAATGAAAGCCTCTTAAAAAAGATTGCATCATTTTATAGTTAAATGAACCTGGGATTAAAAATGCAGTTTCAATGGGGATATTTTTGTCCAAAAGGTGCTGAGAGGGAGTATTTTGTGTACCTAGTGCAAAAAATATATATTTTTAAGAAAATGGCAGTGAAATAGAAAAACTCCAATAAAAATACACACCTGTGCCAACTTTTATGCAGTTAGCATTAACACAGGCTAAGTGATCAAAAACACAAACCTGAAAAGGACAAAAATGTCCATAAGGATGCACATATAAAGTGGGACCTATAATTCTACATAAAACTGGATTAAAATGCTAAATAATTTGGTTTAATTAGGCCAAACGTGCATGAGAAGCACTGACCCAGGCGTATTTCCTAATGAAGGTTTGCAGCTCGTGTTGAACAGTGTGTGCAGTCGCTCGTGGTCGTGAGGAACCGAACGAGGACAGGCTTATCGATCTCTGAGTGGCTGATGTTAAATACAGCCTGCGATTCACACCAATCCATTTCTTCCATTAAAGTCTTTCCACACTGGACATTCACACGTTTTTATATAGATATAAATCGAAAGCTTTCGAAACGTTATATGCATGTTATTAGCAGATGCATCTTTAAAAAAGAAATGGCATAAAATATAGCACACAATTCTGATGCTTTTTGTTCTTTTGCAGATGATGCGAGATCCAGCCTAGACATTTTCAAAGGCGATTATAGGCCGAGGCGAACCACCTTTCAAAAAAGACGAATGAAATAGTGCAATATAAGAGGATTAGGACAGGAACACATAAGGTGAGATATGAAGTGATGAAATATGTTTAGTCAGATTGGTGTCAAGCCTGTCCTGGCCTAGATCACCCGCGAACATTATTGCTGACTGGCACATGCAACCTTCAGTGTATCGCTGTTCTCAAACTAAATTACCTTGAGATTTGATATAATCTATGATTGTTGTATGAAAACTGAAATTAATTTCCATCTTATCATTTCTTCATGCTCTTATCTTTTGTTTAGTCTCTTTCCTCAACCGTTTACAATTGCTTTTACCAATTTAGTCTTTCTTATTTTATTTGATTGGGCTTTCAAACGTTGTTCTATAATAATGCATATTGAGTACTGTTTCATATATAATAATAATAAAAAAAATGGTAAGCAACATAAAATGTATGCTGCACAGAATATGTATGCTAATAATATATCCATTGAATACTTGGAATTGGCTTACGACAATATTATTCTGTTTCTGCATTAAATAATATCTAAACTGTGACTGTATTCAGATTTTCTGTATGGAAAACTGTACGCCAGACTGCAATGCAACCAGACGCAATATAGCTGGACTATGATTTTTTAAATCTCTAGTCAAAGATAAAAATATGACACAAATTTAGATTTAAAGCATTTTACTGAGATTTTAACTGATCTTCAGTCACTGAATTAATTCATGTGATAAGTTTGATATGTTTGATGTTGCATATACTTATTCACCTATTGCTTTGTTAAAACTTTTATTTTTTAAAATCAGTTAGGCAGTAATCTGAATCTGTGCAAACATATTAAACGTTGCCATCTAGTGTTCAGACATATGATCTATTTATTATTCTCTCACAACAGCCCACAAAAGGCATAAAGCAGCAATAGTGATGCCATGTCAAAAAACAATGGTACCATGGTACATTTTATGTTGCAGAATGACAGGCTGGATGAGTGTCAAGTGTGTGTGTGTGTGTGTGGCCATCCACCAAAGCAGGGGTTCAAACTGGATTATTAAAATAATTATAAATTATAAAAAATATATAAAAACAAGATTAAAATAACTAACTGAATAAAAATAATTAAAATAAATGTGATTTAAATGAAAACATTTTATTAAAAAAAATAACTACATAAATAAAAATATCAAATAAATAAAATGAGATTAAACTAAATAATTTAGATTCAAATAATATTTTTTATTAAATAACATTAATTTAAATTAATAAATTTGAATAAAATTAAATACTATATATTTTTAAATGAAATACAATTTTATTTAAATAAAATAAATTTGATAAAACTTAATTTAAATAAATTTTAAATCAAATTTAAATTTAAATAATAAAACTAAATTTAAATAAGCAGTGTAAACATGTAATTTTTTAAATAAATAAAATTAAGAGTAGACTAAGTAAAGAAATTGATTAAAATAAAAAAACTGGTTCATATAAATAAATGAAATTTGATTTAAATAAATAATAAATGAATACATTTGATTCAAATAATTTGACAAAAATGTATGCATTTACAGTACAGTACTACAGTGAGTAGAAAAATGCAATGATGTAAAATAATAGAAATAAATAAATATTTTACATATTATATTCATTTTTCACAGTATTAATGGGTCTTTATACATGAAAACATACATCCGCCTTTTAAATTTTAGCATTGAGATCCCTCGCATGAGGATGGTCATATTTGGGGGATTGCAAAGATTGAAAAGCCCTGCACTAAAGTGTCCTTCTGTGTCACATGATCAGGTATTTATAGAAGAACTGTGACCTGAATAACCCAGTCAATGCGACCCCCCAAACACACCGAGGACCAGACAACAGACAACAACACTGGCTGGCAGAAAAAGGTAACATTTGAAGCTGTCTGAATGTGTTTACTTTTGAAACTAGTACACACACTGCTTATGATTATTGTGCTAGGCCTATATACAAACTCGAAAAATAAGAATAGCGTGCAAAAGTTCATTTATTTCAGTAATTCAACTTAAAAGGTGAAACTAATATATTATATAGACTCATTGCATGCAAATTGAGATATTTCAAGCCTTTATTTGTTATAATTTTGATGATTATGGGTTACAGCTTATGAAAACCCCAAATTCAAAATTAGAATATTGTGAAAAGTTTTCATAGCTATAAGCCATAATCATCAAAATTATATCAAATAATAGCTTGAAATATCTCACTTTGCATGTAATGAGTTTATATAATATATTAGTTTCACCTTTTAAGTTGAATTACTGAAATAAATTAACTTTTGCACGATATTCTACTTTTGAGTTTCACCTGTATATATGTCATCATGATATTGACAGACTTTGATTTGCTCATGTTCAGTTTTAGACTTTCACATGGTGTTATTTACAGTTTTCAGTGTGTGTTGCAGATCCAGGTCTTTTCTTTTTCCAGGTTCACAGGAGATCTGCCTCATTATCAACATCCACACACACAGTGTCATGGATCTGGACACATCCGGAGGGATTTCTGACGATGATTCTGCGACTCAACTCATGATCGAACAGAGTCTCCGGCAGCGACACAAGCAAACCGAGATCAAGAAGTGTGTGTCTGGTGACGCCTGCAAGTCAGACACACTCTCTGCTGTCCGGCAGTTCAGATTCACTGATACTGGAATGAGATATGCTGTATTTTTGTCTGCAGGATTATTCAGATCAGCCCTGAGAGAGAGAAGATATTCAATGCAATAAAGCATGGTATGAACGGGGGAATCACACAATAACAGATCCAGGTTATATTCACACCAGAAGCTAAATAAAAAGAAGATTTAAAAAAATAATAATTTTAACAATGTTTTCATGCCAAATAACCATTTAATTTAATTTATTGTAGTTCTTTTTTTTTTTACAAAAATATTAATAAATCAATAAATTAAAATAAATTTTGATTTAAATAATAAATAAATAAATACATTTTGATTTAAATAAAAAAGTAAATAACCACATAAATAAAAATAATTAAAAAAATAAATGAATAAAAAGGATTAAAGTAAATAAGATTATATTTTAAAATAAATACATTTCTTAAAACTTTAAGTAAAACCGGACTTAAAATAAAGAGAGCATTAAGATTTTTTGTATTGTGATGCAAATATTGTTATACTTATTTTATACAATACTGTACATTGTTATTATTATTGCTATTGTTGTTGTATTTTTATATAATCCAGAACATATCAGACATTTATTCTGCATTATATGAAAATACTTGAATACTTCTTTAATTTAAATAAGATGAAATCAAAGCATTACAACAAATATGATCATTATAGTTTTTTTTTTTTTTTTTGGAGAGATGTACTTAATTGTCAATCATAATATCAATTAAGCAAAATATATTAACATTAATATTCCAAAATGGTCCCAGGCTTTATAGATATCATTTATTTGTTTTTTAGTCTATTTATGAGTGATATATGACATACTCATCTTCATTTCCCCTGAATATTACCATTATTATCATCACATTTAAACAGTGAATGTAATGTCTGCAGGTTTATGCTAGTTAGTGTTGGTTTGGTGCTAGTCTAGCAGTAGCCATGATGTTAACCAATATAATAATAATACATTTAATTTTTATAGCGCTTTTCTAGACACTCAAAGACGCTTTACAGTTGTTGGTTTACATCGATAAAACAAACAAACAAACAAGGTATATAGACATGATTACATAACTAGCACAAGAAATGAAACGAATAACTGCTAATAATAACTAGCACAAGAATATAACTGATCTGCTTGTGATTGCTAATGTGTTCCTCTCGACGGGTTATCAGGAGATGAGGACACTCTCTGTAAGCTGTGTGTCCATCAGCAGGCTTTCTCTGAAGAGGACGACACGGGCTTCACGCCTTTACACGAGGCCGCCGTACAGAACAACCAGAACATCCTTCAGATCACATTTACCGGTTTGTCGTGAGCGAATCAATAATGTTGCTCTGGTGTGTTTTACTCATCTCAGGACGGGAGTAACTGTGATTTCAACTCTCCAACAGCCTCTCCTGAGGAGGCGAAGCACAGGAAGACTCCGCGGGGAAAGACCGCTCTCTTCTTATCTGTGGAAAAGGGTCTTTTGGACAACGCTGGTTTCTTGCTGAACAACGGCAGCGGAGCAGATACCCTGGACCTGGAGGAAGACTCTCCTCTCGTCATAGGTCAGAAAAACATCTTCACAAACGAGAGGCAGAGTGTGTGATTATACAGCTGAAACTCGAAAAATAAGAATATCGTGCAAAAGTTCATTTATTTCAGTAATTCAACTTAAAAGGTAAAACTAATATATTATATAGACTCATTACGTGCAAAGTGAGATATTTCAAGCCTTTATTTGTTATGTTGATGATTATGGCTTACAGCTTATGAAAACCTCCATTTCACAATATTCTAATTTTGAATTGGGGTTTTCATAAACTGTAATCCATAATCATCAACATTATAACAAATAAAGGCTTGAAATATCTCACTTTGCATGTAATGAGTCTTATCATCTGTGAGTCTAATGAGTCTTATTGGAGATTTATCGGCTTCATGTCAACCTTTCTCACTCACTGTGACACTAACCCTCTGACCTCTCACACACTCACACACACACACACACACACACACACACACACACACACACACACACACACACACACACACACACACACACACACACACACACACACACACACACACACACACACACACACACACACACACACACACACACACACACACACACACACACACACACACACACACACACACACACACACACACACACACACACACACGTAATAAGGGTGATTTACAGGTTCTCTACTGGACCAATAATTTTCTGTGGCTCAATAACCAAGGAAAACTCACGTGCACAATGCATTAGATATAAATATAACAATTTTATTTTTAGACAATCATGGGGTTAAAACCCATGGGGGGGATAACAGGTTAATGCAAAGACAGGAGCAATTCTAATCATGTATTTGTAATGAATGATAACATTTAATCAATAAACTTAGCGAAGAATAAAGCATCAACAAACAGGACAATATATTCAGCACGGGTCTCAAAGGTTGTTAAATACATGCATTAAATCAATTCATGTGATCACCAAGCATGCATAATTTCATTGCACTGCAAACCTCAAAGTCATATAAATCACGTAAATACCACACCAATAAATACACACCAAATATCAGGACATCCCATCAATACCACTCACGCTAAATACATAGCCGTCGTCAATATACAGTATAAAAGGCATGTGGAAGATAACAACCTGCTCTCCTACCCCCTTACTCACGCTCACTTTACACACAAATGGCGCCGGGGGACCAATAGTTGCACACATAAATTAGGGCCTCCCCGGCGAAAAACACAATACCAACACAGACATCAACCACAATCAAATGAGAATGTACTGCTGGCTTCCTTACCCGCTACCGGACGTGGGTTCCCGCATTCAAGGAAATCAACGGCGGCCGCCAAACTTAAGAGGGGAAAACCCCAGCACAATATCCCTCCCAGTCGCTATTCGCACGCGTATATCTCCAACCCACGTCCCGGCACGGTAGCCTCGGCAAGGAACTCAGCAGCAGCCACAGAAAAAACCCCCAGCACAACAACAAATACATCATACCTTTATAACTTTGATTCCTGATTGCTAATGCAACACAGGTGTTTCTCTTCCCCGGCGCATCATGAGTAAAACACTGTGGACGCTAATAGCGTTGCCACTCCCCTTATTTGGGATGCGCAGCTTACACATACACACACACACAGACACACGCACACGCACGCACGCACACACACACACACACACACACATTTGATTATTTTATTTGGAATGACCAATACTGATTTAGGGGGCTTTCACACTGGCAGTTTAGTTCGGAACGGGGCACGGTTCGCATGAAAAATCGCTAATGTGAAAGCTGTCATGGGACCCGGGTGCGCACTGGGGTACCGAACCGAGACTACCTGGAAGAGGTGGTCTGAGTTCGGTTGCTCCCGAACCGTGCCGCGGTTCGCGTGAATGTTAAAGCAACACGGACTCGGGTGCGCACTTGTTCAGGAAGTAAAGTGACCTGCGCATGCGTTTATAGCTTATTGTGATGTATTTAGTTAAATAAAACGCTTGTAAGGGATGATAGTGTTGATGATTTACCTTGGATACGAGCGAGAGTGAGTCTGCGTGCAGTGTATTCGTGCATTGCGCGTGGAATCAGGGAAACAAAGTTGGAAATCCACTGTCTCCTAAAAAGATTCCGTTTGTAAGCAGCAGAAGTCCACCTTATGTGACACACGCACAGTAAACCTGTAGTGTTCACTCAACTGCGCATAATAGCAGCAAATTAATAAAATAAAAAACAATATTGACCCACGTTCTGTTTTCTCTCATGCGCCGTGCACGTTTGCGATGACGTCATATGCACGCAAACGCACCAGGGTTCGATAGAATCCAGTTGTGTGTGAAACCAGACCAACGCTGCGGGGGACGCCGGGAACAAACGCGCTCGGGCTCGGACCGCAGCAAACGAGCCCAGTGTAAAAGCCCCCTAAAACAACACAGCATCCAAATATTCACAAAGAGCCTGTTATGTTTCACCTGACAATACACACATCGACAATAGTCACAACCACATGAATATATAAATAAATAGACTATGGATAGAGGTGACACACACACACACACACACACACACACACATTCAACTGACCTCTGACCTCTCACACCAGACACACACTCTCTGGCTGCGTTCCAAACCGCATACTTCCCTACTATTTAGTATGGGAAAAAGAGTAGGCGAGCGAAAAAGTATGTATGAATCCAAAAGAGTAGGCGAGAATTACCTGGATGACGTACTAATTATCGCGAGATTCGGACTTAAGTGCGTTCCAATATGCCTACTCTCCTACTATATAGTAGGCGAAAACAGTACGTGAAGGAAGCAGTACGTTCGAAACATCAGTATTCATAAAAGAGTAGGCGAGAAGTTCCCGGATGGCTTACTGCTTCCGGCCAGATTTTTGAGTGCTCAACCGATGGATACTCTTCTATCCCAGGAGGCCACGCGAGAGGATACGTCATAAAAAAGAAGAAGAAGGATAGGTCATACTCGAACATGACGCAAATGATGACGGACGAGAGTGTTTTCAAATGTGAGTATTAGATATTACAAATCAAATGATCGCATGTGTTGAACTACTGTACAGTAAACTGTTGAATTGTTGAAGGTGTAAAGACGCTATATAGTATGGTAAATTTGAGATTTTGCTGTAAATCACATTTTATTAAGTTAGCTAACAGAGGAGCTCCAGTAAGGACACATACGTCTCCAAAGTGGATTTGCATACATTTTAAACCGTATGCATCTCTAATACAATTACTAAATGTCTATTTAATATCTGGTAAGAAAATCTAATATAAGAATTGCATATTTCTACGTCTAATAGATATGAAATAGACTTCTGAGTTATGTATGTGTACTATTGTTTAAGATAATTCACTGTTGTCAACACTGTTTTCATTAGACGAATGTTTAATAAATTTACATAAAGTAACTAAACATAAGTAATCTATTTCATTTGTCCATTAGTACTATTGAAAAATTGTGGAACATTTATGATCAACATGTAAATGTAGTATTGAGCTTATAAATCACAGAGGTAACATAAATCTTCTCTGGATGTTACAGGGACAGATGAGCACACGCATCTGCTTATCCGGTGGAGAGTGGCTCATGAAGCTCTCTTCACCGGGAAGCGGAATGCTGCCATCAAAGGCTTTGAGTGAGTATACAGAAATAATTAAAAATCTATTTAATTGTTTATTTGTAGTATATCTCAACAGAGATATTACAGCACTTTTTTGATCCTTGATTTCTCTGCATTTGCTGCAGATCTTTTGTGGTGGAGCAGGACCTACAAGGCAGGGTGACGGCGGCATTTGTAAAAAAAAAAAGGGAAAACCTTAAACAAAAATACAAAGTAAGATAATTTTGTTACTTCTAATACAGAAATAAAATAATTAAATATTGTGATGTTAAAATGACTGCTTTTGTATCATGCTTGTGCATTTTTGCAGGATCTGAAATGTCCGCAGACAGGGGTGAGCACTGAGGATGGAGGGGTCACAGCAGCGTCCTGGAAGTGGTACACTGCCATGGATGAGGCAATCGGGGGCAGACCATCCATCACTCCTCCTGCCCTCGTTGCCTCATGTGGGCCGGATGTTGCTGTGGCCTCTTCATCCTTTTCATCCTCTTCATCCTCAGTGAGGCCAGAGCCAGCAAGAGCCAGGAAAAGGGTGAAAGATCTGGAGGACCTGATCCAGGAGATATTTAAACAACAAAAAAACAGAGGGATCTAACAGCATGAAAGCACATAAATAATGGCTGTATTTATATGTTGAGGTGAACTAACCCTTTCACCCACCAAATAGAAATTGTAGTAAATGTATTGTAGCGGCACATAAAAAACAAACCAAAAACCGCTAAGGAGCTGAGTGGAGGAATGACTTCTGTGACGCGTTTATCCATGAAGCTTGCATGTTGTTTTATTTTGTACAAGTTTCACGTTTGCACGTTTGCACGGTCAACAAAATATGTGCTCCAGCACTCACCCCCATTCTTCCATGAACACACACACACAACAGGTGTTTTAACCCCTCTTAATTAATGACACTCCCATTATAGTTTGGTCACATGACTTTCCCATTACATGGCTCCTACATACCAGCCCCTAATTATTATAAATCGATAATTATATTAAATACACATAGGAGACATTTATAAATACAAGATCTCAAAATACAAAAACATTTTTTTACATCAATAATAAATGTTTGCACATTTACAATACATCAATTATTCAGTACTGAGTCCTTGTAAAGTCCATAACAGTGTCAGCACAGAGTGAATTTACAAATCGATGCAAGGTGAGAAATATGTGGCGTGTCAATGTGATAAGTGTGATAAGTCCATGTCTGTGTTAAAAGGTAATTCTCTTTCAAGGAAAACGTCACATATCCACCTCTTGCAGAAGGCAGATTTTTGTCACTGGTCTATTTAAACAGTTTGTCTTGGTCTTAAGTCTCACTTGACGAACAAAGCCTTGATTATCTGGGAATGTCTGAATCACCTTTCCAGTTATCCATGAATTACGTGGTGCT